CAATTCGTGGGTAGTAGATGGTAACATTGATTGTTGAACCCTCAGGTCTATCGAAATTACCACCGATTTTGACACTTGGTTGTTTCCCTGTGAATGGACGGGATGCTCCGAGGAATCGCTGATCCGTTATACATGGTGCGGTCGAATCTCTGCTCACATGACCAACAAGTTACTCCCATAGAGCGTAATGATATCGGGCTCGCAGGTGTCAAGCTTCCGAACCGTAAATACCTCAGTACAACTCGACACCTCCGACAAAATAGAAATGATGAATGCATAACGTAATTGATATGTGACGACCAGCATTGTGTCACCTTCTAACCGGCAGTAGCGGTGTGATGCTGCTACGGCTATTGTCGAGAGAGTCTCGTCGCAAATACTTGGCCGGATCTACCATTATACTCTTACTCCTATCCTGAGTCTTGCATATACCAACCAGTAGGTCCGCCAACTCAAACATAGAATTCCTAACAAGAAATATAGATACGCTTGGCACACTAAAAGGTCGGTCGATCGTAATCCCGATTTGAGATGACGATAAATTTCTCAAATCCTTGCTTTGAAATGTTAGGTCTGCTGGATGCTTTTGTAAGCTATTCGCCCGATCTCAATATTTGAGACACAATGTGAATAAAAAGAAATTTTCCCAGAGATTCAACCATTCAAATTGTGATGAAAAAGCGCATCCGGTCACCTGAGAGTAATGATGATAAACTGAGCGTTCTGTGTTCGTTCCTTGATGTAGTTGGCGATGATAGCAACATTGCGTTGATCGAGTGCTGCGTCTATTTCGTCCATGAAGTACAGTGGCGTCGGCTTATAGTGGTGCAATGCGAATACCAGAGCGAGCGAAGCCAGGGTCTTCTCTCCACCTACACCGGCATTCAACCGACAACCGCAAACATGCACAACTCACCACTAAGATTTGCTATCTGCTTCCAGCTCTTCCTGGGCGGCCGCACAGAGAAGGATATCCCCAGAGAGAAGGGGTCCTGCCCGTCCACAAGCTCGAGATCAGCATCCCCTCCGAGGGTTATCATCTGGTACAGCTCTTTCAGTTTCTCCCGAATCACGTGGAAGCCCTAAGAGGTTCATCGAATATGCCATCCTGTTGCCAGCAGACGCACTGTGAGGAACATAGTGAGGCGATCGTTCTCCAATTGCTTCAGCTGACTGCGTACATTATCGCGATCCTTAGTAACCTAGAGTTGAAGATTCCGACCAAGCCGGTTTCGACTGTCCATCCCTACCGCGTCGAGCTCGTCCTTCTTCCTCTTGTAGTCGGCAGCCTTCTTCTTATAGTCTTCAATAGCCCTAGTGTTGGGTTGCATCTTCTGTATCTCTTCCTCGAGGGAGAACATGGTCGACTTGATCGACGACTGATCACCAGTAAACCCAATGAACAGAAAGAGAGGAGACCACCGAAATAGACAGCATCAGTCCTCACCAGAGCCTTCTCCACCCCAGCGAGTTCCTCTTCAGTGAGATCCATCAAGACAGCCTTCCCCAGTGCTCGACAGTCCATCCTCTCTTCCCCTTGCACCATACCATGCTCCTCATCATCACTCCCCATCCTCTCATCAGGTTCGTCCTTAACTCGCTCAGGTGTGTGTTCAGGAGTCTCCCTCGGCAGCCGAGGGGTCGCGTGCCGGCCAGGCGACGTCACTGGTGTGCTCCTCTGTGATGGTAGCGGTGGAAGGTTCACCGCAGAGTCATGCTGAAGCACCAGAATCAGCCCATCAACTGGCCAAGGATTCACCTCAAGCTCCTCGAATAGAAGCGCCGTAGGAAGGTCATCCCATTCCTTCTTCAACGTGGCCAACTCCTTACTATGATGCCTTGAAGCCTCTTCATGCTGCTTCACTTTGTTACTCCTGAGGCTCGGCATCATCTACCCTCTCTCCAGCTACCCAACGTACTTCTCCTCATAGGCCATCTTTAGATCTTCCTCCCTCTTCCTCACATCTTGGTGTTCATCACGAATCTATCAGGACCGGTAACATCTCAGCCCTCCAGCCGTAGTCGCCCACCTTCTTCACTTCCTCCTTCAACGCTTCCACCTCCTTCTCGTATTCTTTCCGCTGCTCCAGTAGCTGATTATGATCCTCGAACAGTCCCAAGGCAAGCTCTTGCAGTCTGAATAAAAACCAGTCGGATCGGCGGAGCGAAGCTCTCCCAACTTCTCAGATTCTGGTCGCCGCTCCTCTTCCTCCTTCTCCAGAGCGTCAATGTCCTTGCGGAGCTGCTTGGCCTCCTTCAACGCCTTCTCGGCATTCTCTCGAGCTTTACGAATATTCAGAGCCAACTGGAGCAACAAGCCTGGTAATTTCGTGGCGCGCGACATTTTGCCCACCCGTCGCTTGTCGGTTTTCCTCTCATCCAAGGACTTCTTCAAATCCTCCATCTTCTTCTTCTGTGCTCGTGTCTTATCTCCCTCCGATCTCAGTATCTTATCCTTCAACAACTGTATAGCCTCCAAGAGCTCTCTGACTCCTCCTTGAATCTGTCACACACAATGCGTCTTCCTAAGGAGCCCCAAGGAGCCGATTCACCTCATTCAGCTCTCCCTGCTTTTCCTCAATCTTCCCGTCTAGCTCCGCTACCTCCTTCTTCTCTCTGTCACTTAGTTCCGGACATACTATTGCTTCCAGTTGTCGGTCGAATCTATAACCACACTCACACTCAAAACCACACAAGAGGGCCACCTTACTGTTGTATCGACAGCTTCACAGCCTCCAGGTCTACCGGCTGCTGCTGTCGCTGTTCATGATCCGCCAGCGTCTGAAGAACACTACTATATAGTTACATATCACCATAACAGGAAAAGATCGATGAGCTTCGCTCCGCTAGGATTTAGAGAAGTGATGGGTGCATCCTACCGCTTTCATCTGTCTGTTCATGTCCTGCAGCTCCAGGCGCTCGTTAGTGAGCTTCTCACGAGCCGTCTTGAGCTCGTCGATCCTACATAGGAGAGAGGAAGATGGCTGACCACATGGCTGCCTCTAATGAGCCTGACTTCTGCTTCAGTCGAGCGACTTGCTGCTCCAGCTTCTGATAGCTTCCAGTCTCGGGATCTACACAGGGAGGAAGTGACTATTCCCAACCATAAGCTCACAACAGATTACAATAACAGCATGTAAAGCACGAAATTGGTCGGCGGTCACTCACCCCTTCCTCGCTGTGATCCAAAGAGGCCCTTAACTGTCCTGCCACCAGCCGACATCACCCCACTAGTCTCCACTAGCTTTCCATCCAGTGATACGACACGGTACCTACCGCAGAAGGAGGTGGCCATGCACACACAGCCCTTTGGTAATACACATAACCCCTTCACAAACTATAAGGACATGCGACTAATGCCTTCCGCAAAAGGAGTTGCTCTACTCTGCCTTCCGACTCACCGACGCCCACTGGTACTCTCGCCGTGACCAACCCTCTGAGCCTGATTCAGGTCCTTAGCTACCAAGGTCTCTCGAACCGCGAAGTAGAATGCAGCACGGAATCTATTATGGAATAGAGTGACAAACTGATGACACCTTCTCCTACTTCCTCTCGGTCGGCTTAATCAAGTCGATGAGACGCTGAGTATCTTCTGGAGGGTTTCCTGCCGGCTTCTTCTCTAACACCTACAGATCCTCACATCGCAACGATCGACATAGTGAGGCTAATAATGACCTTGTCCAGTATAATGCACGTCACCCTTCCCAACCTCCTCTGCTTACAAAACTCCACTACCGCTTGGGCCGCCTCAGCATCTATAACAACTCAAGTGTGACCGCAGATATGAACACCAACTTACTATCAACCACCATGTTCTCCAATGTCCCTGCAGCCGCTGTGCAAGCCGCCACATCGTATCTGCAAGAGACTGCCCCTCCCAGAGAACGAGGTCTGTCAGTAAAGACCCCCTCACATATCATCAACTGTCCCTAGATCTCCCAATCGGCCGTGGACTCCCTTCAGCTGACCAGATCGGGCTGCTTGCATTACAGCTCTGAGAGAGGACTCCACCATGACACCGGAATTTTTCCCGTGATATGAAAAACATTAGTAAAAAAGATTTCACGTTTCACTTCGCGAGAAACGCATGCGAGCAGTGAAAACCGCGTATAACACGTGATGTGCTTTACGTGATATGGAATAGTTTGTCGGGTACAATCAGCGAAGAGTTCGCAATTCACTTCATATCGCGGATGTCGCGTTTTTCAACTAGACTATGACGCCAATTCACGTAAAACGGGTGAAACTCCACTATTCCCCCCCAGTTCATCTCCCCCACCGTCTTAGATTAGGTGCTCCTTGAGAAGCACCACTCTCCTGCATCTTCACGTGGGTACTCTCTATTTTATCTAAACAACCTTGTCACCACCCCCACCACTTCTCCCCACCCTCCCACTGTGAATGTCGGTGCCCTCAATGCCGTTCTGTTTCAATGCCTCATAGATCTCCGCGATCCTCTCCTCATTCTGGTGGATCCTCCCAGAGTACCTGCAGTGACCCCATTGGACCTCGAAGGAATCCCACTGCCACACCCCACCCTACTGTTCCATCACTCGTTTGCTCTCCTCCACTGCTTCCTCCCTATGTTTCAACTTATCCACCATAATCTGCTTTTCCTGCTCAATCCTAGCCCGCTGGCCCTGGGCGGCAGAAACCTAACATGTAGGCGACGAAGTACTGTTCATACCGCGACGACGGGTTTTAGCTACTATCCGTGATTCCAAGTCTCGAGATTACACTGAATCACGTTAAATTGAACGAGACGTGATCACATTTTAACTAGTCCCCTATACGTATTCCCCCCTCAAGATGACCACAGGCAACTACTCTGTAGTTCACCGTCAGCCCTCCCCCTCACTTTATCTGTCAGCTGTTTCTTCTGTTTCAGCATGTCGTTTATTTCCCTCTTATACTCTGATTCCGCAGACCTCAGCTCGTCCAGATCCTTGGTCAACTTGTCCAGCTCCTCCCTACCATCCAACTCCACGTCTCTACTATGGATGCCCATTACCACTACTACTACTTCTTCTCAGTGCTGCACTTAGCCTCTTTCCCATATATCTCCTCCAGCTTCTCCCTTTCAATACCACTCCTTTCCTCCAACTTACTTATCTCATCTTCTACCTAACAAATTCCCATACCACACCTCCGACTTAAAGGCGTTCGCTTCACTTTAGGCAAGTCGACCTCTTCCATCTCCTTGGCGTCATCCTGCAGCTTCTCCGCCTTATTCTCTTTCACTGTTATCTCCTTTTTCGTGCGCTTCAATTTCATCTCACACGCCCTGCGGAACACAGAACGTCAAGGGCCAGCATAAAAGCAATACCCCCTCCTACTTCAAATCCTCCTTTGACTTGGTCAACTGTCGGTCCATTTCGTTAAACTTATTCAACAACTTATCGCACTTGTGACTGATCTTATGGCAGACCTTCTCCTTAACCCTGCACTCTCCCTCGGCCGCCTTCAGCTTCTGATTGGCCCTAAGAGCCCACTCCCCTCTACCCAGCTCCCCGATCTCACTCTTCAATTTCCTCCATCATCTCCTTCAAAGCCTCCTCCGCTTCCTTCCTCTCCGCCTCTGCCTCTCTCCGCCTATTGTCCGCCTTTCCCCTGCTATACTGTACCAACTTAGCCTTCGCCCCAATCAGCTTACATTGAACTCTGAAATGATCCAACTCCCTATGTCAAGAGAGCACCCCACCCACTCACTTAACATATTTCATAGCTTCCCTCTTGGGCCCTTCCAGCGCCACTACGTCCTTATGAGCAGCATTGACTCTATTCAAATGCATATTTCTATCTTCAACAAGTCTATTCATTTCCTCTGTGGACTTCTCGATATCCTCTATATACCTTACAGAGGGTCGCTCCCCATCAAAGTGAAGGCTCCATGATCAGCAACCTACACTTCGGATCCAATGATCTCCTCAAGGAACTCCAGAAAGCCCGGCTGACTGCTTTCCCCCTTCGGCTTCATCATAGCAATCGATTCCACTTCTCCCTGTAGGATGAGGAACCTGTCACGGCTCAGCCTGAACGCCCATCACCAACTAGGCCCCACCTATTGTGATCTAAGTCGATGCCATACCCCCGAAGGCGGTCACCGACTTCGGTCCAGGAGGATGTGCGATCGTCTATAGCGTACCTAGATACACTCCTAGGCGAGAACCTTCCTGAACTGGAATTGTATACAACTAGTATCAGCCTAGTGTGGGGAACTACGCACATGATTAACCTCACGTGCTAGTGACAAAATGAAAATTCTGAGGGAGTTCTGGGAAATTCCTATTGGTTTTTGAACACTTCTACCCGCTGTTAACTTCAATAGTAAGTGCGAAAACTCTTCAGCTCAGATGAGCGAACATATATTCCAACACTGGTATCAGCAATAATAGTTATAGTGGCTACTACTTGCTTGAACTGTTAGCATAACACTCCCGAGAGATCGTGAAGGCCGAGCCAGGTATCTCCTGACCATCCTCATTGTTGACCTCTGCAAAACCAATCTTAACCTGAAGCCGGTCATCAGTGAGGAAGGAACATCCTCCCACAGCGCACCCTGGCTCGGTCCGGCCTTTCCCCACCAGCGTTGTGGATGAGCTCAGCTAGCTTGTTCTGTCGAATCTGCTTAGCCTTCTTGCCGAAAACGAAAAGCATGGCATCGATGATATTTGATTTTCCCGATCCATTAGGACCGACAATCACAGAGAAGTTGTTCGAGAATGTGCCGATGTACTTATGACCACCATACGACTTGAAGTTTTCCAGAACCTGTACGCACCCCGGTACGATTCCCAGGGCCTCCATTTCTCCCTCACAATGTCTCGGATGACAAGTCGTTTAAAGTCTCCTTTGCCAAACTTGTGCTTCTTCGCCATCGACCCCGCAGCGTTACTGGGCATCGGTCTCTTAGGAGGAGTCTCAGGCGCGACCTGTAGAGCTCCACTCCCTCACACTCCTCTCCCCTTTCTCCATCTACCTGCTGAACTACACTGTTCACATCTTCTCTCGCTTGTCGACGGCCTTCCTCGACCACCACCCCCCGACGTGGCTAAGGCAGAAGCCAAATTATTGGATGACAGAACTTCCATCGTGAGAAGACAGTCTTTGCCACGCTAAGTGGCCTGTATGTCGAACCCACGATTCCGTCACGCGCCACGAAATTAACCCTGCGACGTCGCGAGGATTCACCTGGACTTCATCAGGAGTGGTATCCTCAGTGGAGGCTGCAGTGTCGCTAGTGGCCTTCTTCACTCGGCTGTTACGATCGTCGGGCAACTGATAAGGAACAACCCGTTCATATCAGGACTCTCCGGAGTATCCTAGGTTCCCCACTAGTAGATACAGAACAGGCCCCTCACCTCGACATTCGCGTTGCGGCCAGCATTCTCCTTATTTTCGTTCTCATCGTCGACCTGCTGACATTTTATCATCACCAAGGACAAACCCACAGAATGGAAAGCTGACGACCCCACAAGAATAACCAGCAGCCTCAACACAACACCCGATGGGGTCTACTACCACAGCTGAACCACCCAGGAATACCCCAAGCCTGCATGCTATGCCAACTCGACTACCTCAACCACCGAATCACAATACAGCACCAACAGCATGTTCCATCAGCTCAGTGCTCTCTACAGCCTCCGAGCTCGAGCGGGGAGAGGTCCTCCCCTCCGAAGTGGTGACGAGGGATGACCCCTCGTGGTGCTCATCATCCTCTCTTCTACTCAGCTTTCGAGTGATCCCTAAAAGCCGCCATGATAGTCGAGAGCTGTGACTTCCTATATGGACTCTATTCGGAAAGCTACGCCTTTCGGTGCAATACAAGGCATCACACGGGTCGATTATGATTCAGACGATCAAGCCCACCCACCGGCCGAGAGCATCCCTCCAGCCAGAACTGTCACTAAATGACGATACTTGACTAGCCAATCCCACCACCCAGTGAGAGGTGGATGGGGGTTATAGGGCGCTCGGGGGGCGAAGGGGTGACGACAAGGCCAATCCCAAGCGCAATGCTCGCTCATAAACTGAAATGATACTCCTCAGACTGGACCGACTGAGGTCTCTGATTCCCTATTGGATGAGACAGAAGAGGCCCTCGAGGGCTACCTACGAATATATCACCACGGCTCTAGTAGTACCTCCTTATCCTTATACCCCATACAACTGAGGTCCTTTATAGGGAAGCATGGTCCTCCCCCCTCATAGGGATCGTCCGCCTCGCATTTGAAGCCACACTTCCCCATATACACCGACCTAACGGCACGCATCACCACACTCCTCCTCCTCCTCTTCCTTCCACCACCCACTGACCTGTGCCATCCCTTAGGGCACATATCATAATTGGGAGTGCATCTACGAGGTGGTGGTGGGGGAACCTTCTGCCACGCCGAGGGATCCTAACGAGTCAACAACAGTTATCGCGCCATAGTTTATGACACAGAGTATGTTGTCTTTACGACTAATGAAGAATATATACCCCTCATTTGACGCTAACGTTCTGGCCTTATTCCAAGACAGAGTAGAGAAAGGCAATCACAGAACGCTCAAACTTCCGCGAACGTATAGAGGTAATGAATACCACATCCACGATCATCACGGCTGAGCAATAGTGAGCTTTTACCATGCCATGACTCGCCATCTCGTTGGCCCACTTCTCATAGGCCTCATCCTTCCCTTCTGCCTCTAACGCCGCCCTCTGGAGAATCTCCCCGTTCCTGTAGCCGACCTCTTGAACTCTGTGGAACATCTTCATGAAGATCCCCATAGGGTCGACGGGCAGGGCTGGGGCATGGTGTAGGTGGAAGGAAGGGAACAAAACCATACCCAAATCATCCTACACTACTTCCCTATGACAACAAGCACACTCTCTATAACAGACGAGCAGACGCTACATCAAAAGGTTATCATTGAGCACAGCGCCCATAAGGTGTGATCGATCCCCTGACGACCATCAGAACTGATGACACGCAGGGAAAGCATTTACCAATGGGGTAGATGCATGCGAGTAACTACTGCTCCTTAAGAAACTACTACTACTACTCTTCCCAATTACCAACACCAAGTCCCCATCTACCGTACAGAAACCAATCGAGTAAGAGTACATGCAACAGAAACTTGTGATCACTCCTCACCACCAATAAGGAGCCCATCAGCATCACCGTCGTGGTCCATCAGCTCCTGAGCCTCCAACTCCGCCACACGCCGCGCCTCTCGCTTCTTCAACCGAGCAGTTTCCCTCTCATGATCGATCACCTTCCATGCCTCCTGTACCTCCGCCCACTCGTATTCAAGTCGCCGACGGTATCCTATGGCCATCTCCTTAGCTCTGGACAGGACATCTCCAGAAAATCCATACCACTCCTTAAGCTACTCACCTGTCGAACCCCCACTGACCGACTCTGAAATAGCAGCTGCAATTGACGAAGTAGTTGTGCTCATAGCACCGCCTCTTGAACTGAACTCTCCAAGACCCACTCGGATGCCATCTCACTCCTAAACCATGGGAGCTTCCGAACCTGCCTCCCAGACCACCGCCACCACTAACCTCTAACGCCACAAAGATACTTCGTCCATTCAATTTGTTTGATGAGCTCTCTCGACTCATTCGTTCCTGCCACAATAGAACAAAGATGCCCTCCTTGCCCCCATGCCCCTTCATACCACCCACCTGCTCTGAACATCCTCCTAATGTAGCCACTGGCCATCACACTCTTCGGTATGGCCATGTACGATATGGGCCTGATAGCAACGGTACGAGACAAGGCAGAGTGTAACATCATCACACTTGAGCTAAGGGCACAGCAAACCCCTCCCACCCCTACTTGGGAACATAGTGCGTTTGATGATGTTGGAGCAAGCGACCCTTGTGGGATCTTCGTTGTCTAACTCGAACCTTCATACCTCTAAAGAGCCACCAATCGACACCACAAACAGATGCGCCCCAAACTATCCCTGCAGACCCGCCTAAGTGGTCGTCACCGGTGTTGGAATATATATTCGCTTTCCTCAGTTATGGTCATGAGCTTCCTATCTTATCACAGCAATTACTATAGGAACTAGAGCGGAAGTGTTCAGAAACAAACAAGGGCCTCTAAAAATTTCCATACTGTCATCGAGAAATGTAGTTGACCATATGTATATGCTTCCACCTTGGTCCTCACTACAACAGTCCCCTCAATGTGGACTCACCTAGTCTGCCCAAGCATCGGGCTGAGGACTCCTCCCCAACCCAGCGACGTCAACCATGCCGTGGGTCGCAGTAGGCTCGTAGGCGCCAAGAGCATACTCCAATAACTACTTCCAACACCACCATCCACTCCCCCCCCCTTGAATTGAACAAAACCCAAGGCCTCTAAATGTTCCGAGTGAGTACGTATCTTCGATGTTATTTCCTTAGTAAACCTGACACTGCTGTGGTGTCACTCCTAGCGATAGTGATTTAATAACGATCACGAGAACGAGAACGTCTGAAGGGAGAGGTAGTCATCGAGCCGGCCTTCGGACCATAGAAGAAGTTCCTTCAACTCACCTGCCATAGGAGGGGGAACGGCGACGACTTCTGCCCTCGGAATAGTATTCACGACCGCCTCTGAAACAACCAATACAAGAGCATAGGGAAGCTGAGCCCGCCTCACCTGTAGCCACCACCATACCCTCCTCTTGAAGACCTTCCCCCTCTATATTCATCATCCAGTCTTCGCATAGTCCTAGGGGACTTCCGTCTCTGCTTGGCAACTTCCACCTCTGCTCACCACAGAGTCCAGAGCCCATTGAAAGTCACCTCGCCCTATTACCAACATAGTTGCTGCCAAGTCGTTGACCATCCATAGCGTCCCTGGCCTCATCAGCATCCCTAGGATCGTCGAACTCAACAAAGCCGAAGCCTCGAGGCCTCTTGCTGTAGTAGTCCAAAGGGATGTACACATCCCGCACATACCCAAAGCGCTCAAATGCATCGCGGAGTCTCATAGGATTCACTTCATCGGGCTAAAGGCAAATACTCACCCTATGCTAACGAGGCTACCAGTTACTGACCAGATTCCTAACAAGCAAACTGCAGGAGCCTTCACGAGCCCCACCGCGACCACCAGGGGTACGGGAACGACTGCGCTCTCTCCTGCTCGGCCCACGATGACGAGAATCGGACTCCGAACGACCTGCTGGATAGACCGGAATTCCATGGCGCAGCAGTCAACAAGAGCTTACCTCGACCGCCCTCACTGCGAGACCTCGATTCTCTATCCGGACTCGTCCCACGTCTACGACTGTGAGGACTTCTACTGCAGCTCTTCTTCTCTCCTCGACCTCTACTATCCCCCCTTCTGCTCGATCGTACCGAGGCCTCACTATCACTCTTGCGGTCTTCAGATTCACTACGCTCCCTCACAGGACTCTTCTCCTTAGGGCTCAGCACCTTCTCCTCGCTAGCGTCACGCTTAGGGGTTTCCTCCTCTCCCTCCTTAATTGGAGTTCTCGAGCGACTACGCTCACTTCCATCAGAGCGCTTCGAATAGGATCGACTACGGCTGGCAGATGACATGTATAGGACAGTGTTACGGCTGTGTCTACTGCCATCATACCTACCCCCTCCCCACCACTAAACTCCACAACAGTACATGAAGAAATAACATGAGATTAGCACAGACATGATGCAATGATGCTGATCATCCCTGCTGAGCGACCCTCTGGTCATTTTCCTCATCAGTAAAAGGTGGGTGGTTGTCGGTGGCATTGGCATCATGAGAATGTGCTGTCGAGCCGACCAACTCCAACTGGACCCAGCATCTCATTACACTACTGGAGCTCACCTACCACGTTGGTTTCGCTCTCTTTCGCCATGCACTGCTGGAGGAGAGCCTCGTGATCATCTATGATCTGTCTCAACGGAATTTGCAAATGGAGTGGTATAGAATGATCACTGCCTTACAGTCCTAACAATCTCCTTCGCTTCATAGAACATATCCATCTCACCGTTGGCGTCTACGAACTGCCATACGTACGACTTATGGTAGAATAACTGCAACAAGGAGCATCCAAGGCATATCAGGCCAAGGCCCGCCGCTAGCCTTACTACTAAGAGTACGCCATAGTATATCCCCCTACCTGTAGGAACTTCTTATACTGCCTCAAGAACATCGTTCTGACAGCTGTGGTATTAGCCAGAACACACCCTTGCCGATCGCAACGTGCCATGAATGGCTCTCCATTACCAGTAAGAGGTATGCTGGGAGGCACACCGACGACTCCCACTTTGAAGCCGGACTCTAACAACATTGGCACCAGGAATAGAGATGATCAAGATCGCTGCCTCCAAGTCTACGAGCTATTATACTCGGCAAGGAAAGACGAGACTATCAGCCCAAAACAGATTCGCAGCTTCCTATTGAAAGTGAGTACTTACCAATCCAAGGCAAGAAGCGCAGCGCCGTACGATAGCTTGCTTTCGGGTTACACAGAGTATTGATCGCTTGCAGGGCGTCGACCTGAGGGAGGAGGGAGAAGGCAGGACCTCGTCGATGGGGCTACCGCTTGCATTGGCGGTCCAACACTACCCGACCTTCCATCATGGCGAGGATCAGTACCTCTTAAAATGCAGTGGCCAGGGATCGAACCAAGGACCTTTCCCACCTTAGTAATACACATACACTCAAATAGCGATTCAGCCTCAATGTCGGCCCGACATCGCATAGGAAACTCCTCGGTTCGAACAGATCAATAACAATATCCTTAGTGGAGAAGGACTCATGCCTAAAGCACCATACAGCTGACGACCATCCAGATTCATGTCACTACTTATGCCGAGAGGCATGGCGTACTGGCGACAGTGCTACAATTGGATACCTATACACTGGCGTGGGTACCTACTACGACGCTATTCAAGAACGGTAGTGAACCCCTAGTGCGCCTACAATGTTATGAATGATCTCAAGGAGGCTGGCATTGATCATAGACTCGAAACGTAGGGAGGTAGTACAGGCCGATACAACTTGGGAAATAAGTCGATTGAGATGGTAGAAGGTCTGACCAGCATGCCCTGCAACGGCGACCCACCAGGGACGACTACCGGATTTTTAACAGCGAGCTGATCACGACACAGCTTATAGGCTGCTTGGTTGTCAAGCATGAGAGAGAGGTCACACACAGCCTTACTGTAAGCAGTAGCGAAGAGGCAATTGTACCTTTTCCAAGAATCGAGATACCGCATAATCCAGGCACTACCAACACTACGGTTCAACTGCTGAACTGCTGTACTCCGCACTAGGATATAGTACGGGCTCCAGGATAACCTACATACAAATGCCATCAGGGAAGGTCGCAACAGCAAACGAGAGCAAACCATTCCTTCCTCTTATTGCCAATGCAAAATATAACCTTAGCCGGGATCGAACCCGGGACCTATCGAATCACTAGTCTACCTTCTTCTCAAACTGTTCTCTCAGTGCCTCCAACAGCTCACAGCCAATGCCCGAACCTGTCCCTCCACCGAAGGAACGGAACGTCTGAGGACTCAAGATCTGCCGAGTCCCGATCAGGACGAACACCCACAAAGAATCCTGCTAGATTAGAGCACTTATCGGCTTCCTTCCTCAATCTGTCCATCATCTCATCCACTATGTGATACCTGCAACAAGCCCTCCTCCGATCAACCATAATGTCGGCCGATGTCCGATGCCCACGCGTATCGACCAACTTCGAACAACTTCGCTCTATATTTTCACGACGAGCTATCAACCACGATTTCCTGTATTCCTCCAATACCCTAGTTATCACTCGATGGCCTGTGTCCGACCCTCAAAGAAGTTACTGCGGCAATCCTGCTTGTACCCCATCACTTGTTCGGGATTGTACAGGTTACGCCACTTACAGCGAGGTCCGAGGATCTCGTGTTTCGTACCTAGCAATCCAAAGGTCCCAGGTTCAACCCCACCCGACGACGTTATATCACTCGGATCAGTATCCATAAACAACGTGCGAGGAACGTGCTGTCCTGATGGAGTCTCATGGAAGAACGTATTAAAAGGATCCTCCATAGACCCGACAGATTCATCGCTCGGCATCGTGCCTGACCATCCACATCATTTTCGTCAGTACTGCAAACAACCATCAATCACGGATGAAGGACCCTCAAAGACTATACAGTGTAGAACCAAGGAAATGACCCTTTTGATAGACTACTGCACACTGCCTACCATCAGGCTCGATGCCGTGCTCTATACAGAAGAGCTCCCATACCTTCTGGCCGACAGAACATCCCGCCTGGCCGAGATGACACGTGATGACCTCTCGCATATTAGGAGTGAACACTGTCAATGCTGTATCCCGCTAACTCAAGGCAGTAGCACCGAAGACAGCATGTTAATTGACACCGTGGATTGCCGCCTCCTCCTTCGAGGCATCCTCCACTGTCATCTCACCTGTACATCAAAACTCACTAGACCATCCCTCCTAAGCAAGTCCATCCCTTACCTGGCGCATCGCGTCGATCAACCAAATGGACAACATTTCTATCTCGCAGCGCCCCACAGTCCTTCAGCACGTACCTGACGTACATCAAGAGACCAACCATGGACATGATCAACTTACTCATCCTTCAGCTCTTCTCCTGAATGTAATAATATTTGTTCCTCTACTGGTATGCCTAACAGCACTAGAATTTCATCCGCGATATGGAAAAACACTAGTGGAAAACATATTTCACATTTCACTTGGCGGAAAACAGTGGTGTTATCGGTCCCAGAGGTATATACGTCTTATAGTTTGCATGGAGTATTACACCACTTCACGTCTACCGAGTGAAACTCCACTGTAAACCACCACATACTCAGCCGAACCACCTACCTGTCTTTTTCAAGGTGTATTTTTTCAACATCGAGACCTTGTCATTCTGGCTAATTTCGACCCACACTGTAGCAGCCGTCTTGACGTTGACCACGAAGAGCAACAGAGGAGGTGGAGGCGGAGGCACTACAACAACTTCCCGCATAAGGGAGACGAATTCGCCTGAATACAGTTGATCTCCTCCGATGAGGCAAGAGCAACGCAACAGAGAAAAAGTCGCCGTTGAACGTAATTTGATACAGGAAATAACCTCAGTGAACGGTGCCAGGCACTCTGCAGTGAGCATCACAACTCGTACACAACGACAGACCTAGCAATCATAAGTTCACCGAGATTCGGTATAGTAATGGAGTGAATGAATAGGTACTTAGTGACCATGGTATGTAGAAGAAAGCGACGCGTGGAGCGCCGACAGGAACAATAACGAAAGGAGCGATACAGCAAATAACAGTAGAAACAATACCAACAACGGCAGCGTCATCGAGTATGGAACATATTCTAGACAACGAGTATCCTTACTACAACTTGACTACTTATCAACAATAATATAAAACAATAATAGACACACCATAGTGAGGGAATCGGGATAATTTGGATTCGAAGAAACACTTCCCGTTAACGTACCATGCTCAAACGGTATAGGGTCAGAACCAACACTCCATCATCACCAAACAGGATAGCAACTTCTCTACCATCATCAGGTAC